CTCCGCCCAACTCTCCAGTCTGTCCAGATCAAGAAAAAGTGTTGCCCACACTCAACATCCCTTTATGCTGGTTAGGAATCAATTCAGCTGGTTAGAAAACGGGTTGTGTTTTTAAGAGATGGTTTCTGGGTGAGGGTCCGGTCACCATGAGCGTGGCTGGGCTGGCTCACCTGTGCGTCCATCCTCTCTTTGAGCAGGATCGTGAAGATCGGCTCCCTGGAGTGGTACTACGAACACGTGCGATCCCGTTTCAAGAGGTTCGGAAGTGCCAAAGTGCTGCAGTCCCTCTACGGCCGGCTGCAGCCGGGGCAGGGGGTGATCGCCCCGCGTCTAGGTGAGGAGGAGCGCCGGGGATTCTCCCGCCCTGCTGCGTGCCGGGGCTGAGCAGGCACTGGGATGCACCAAGCGAGGAACGTCAGCGGTGATGCCACTCCGGGCGCCGTGTGGTTTTGAGACCGTGCAAAACATTTTGGGGAGGACGCGGAGGTTCAGAGCGGTGTGTTCGTACCGGGAGCAGCAGAGCGGATGTTCTTAGTGGATTTTTTTTTGGTCTCCCTCTGTTAAGGTTTAAGGTTTTACCATAGGCTAGAGAATATCTCGTGTTTATTTTTAAATATCTCATGTCCTGTAAGAGTTGCAGCTCTTGTTTTTCTTTCTTTTAGCTCTTTTTGTCACCAGGCAGAGCTCGTGAAATTAACCCGAGTGTAACCTGCAGGTCCAAAGCATCCAGCCGGCTGGATAAAGCCAGCACTTATTTTTTTTTTCCCCATGATCTAATATATTTTACAGCCAATCTGATGATGCTATGGCACTGACAAAACTGTATCAAAATTAGTGAGCTATCCGTCACCATAGCTATGCTCTTCAGAGCTTTCTAGATCTTCAGTATTTCTGAGATTGGTCTGATACTGCATAAACACATGCTGAAATCTGTTATTAATGTGGTATTTTTGTACTGGGTGGCCGTTAGTTGCCATCCATACGGCTGTTGCACTGTTTTGTCTATTGCCTTTGCAAACCAACGTTTGAAGAGCCGCAAACCAACGTTTGAAGAGCCGCAAACCATCCCCAAGAGCCACAGAAAAGTTTACACAAATACCATAGACGTGAGCTGATCCAACTGGTCCAATAGTTCTTTTACCCAGACTGCTCGTGGCCGAAATATCGGAAAGAGCACGGAGGGTGGTGGCATTGAATATAAAATTAATGGACTGAGAGACAATTTATACAGCGTTCAGTCTGAAAATGCATCAGACCAGACAGAAAAGGACGATCCAGGAGAAACCCAAACCAAGCGTGGGCATAACAGTGCCTTAGGCTTCTTTAAATCGAGACACTGATGTCTTTCTCAAAAAGAGATGTTTTTGCCGTTATTTCTTCATTAACACCACCGAATTGGCTTGACCCATGAACAAGCAAGAGTCTCCTTGTGGGACCGATCTCTGGTTGCAGGAGGTACAGCAGTGACATGAGGCCACGGCATTTTGCGTGGCCGTCTGCTGTTGGCTGTGCCTTCGCCTGCTGCTGTGCTCCCAGGCGTGTTGCATCAGGGCTGTGGAAGTGGTGGCAATAAGCTCTTTGACTTTTAAAAGTCAAGTCCTGTCCCCAAGCGCCTGTTTTCTTCTCTCTGAAGAGCCTTTTTGATGACGGTGCCTTGTGAAGGCTAGAGCATGAGAGCTCCAGTTAACCGCAGCTCTGAGGCTGGTTCTCTGCGAGGTACCTGGAGAAAACGTGTTAATTTTTTTTTCCCCCACTGTTTTTCTTTTCATTTAGGTCTTCATGACAGAGTTTACAGCCTGCCGGACATTAACAGTAAGTAAAAAAAGAGAATCGCAGCATGCGGCCTGCAGTTCAAGAGAGGTTTCCAATGTCTTTTTTTCCTTCACACCCTCTGGCTTTGGGCGCTCCAGCAATGGTTTGGTGTGGCTGGACCAGGGAGGACACCTCTCCCCTGCGGTGGAGGTGGACTGTAGTGCTCATCTCTTGCACTGCGGTACGCCTGGGGTCTCTGAGGGTAGACTCGGATACACAGGGCTTTTAGTTACATGCCAAACTTGAAGCTTGCAAGTACTCATCTCAACGCACCTACGTCATACGCTCGAAGCTGGCCATATTCTTAAGGAACCCGCTAAATTTGGGACTTCAGGTGCGTTCCTTAGGAGCCCTTGCGGGAAAGATTTGCTGCACCATGCCATTTGATATAGGAAAGAGCACGTTGCCTGCCTTGACTTTGGACTTGGTCTGGCCTTTGTGCTGTTCCCAACGTACTGCTGGGCTTGGCCGTGACCTGGGTACAGAGGTGAGGACCTGGAAAGGAGCAGGTCACAGAGAGATAGCAGAGCTGGCTGATGGGAAGCAGGAGCAGCAGAAGCAGAGCCACGTTGGGCTGAGCTGTAGAGCTTTCAAACACTGGAGTTGCCCGGGTGGACCTCGGGGTGCTCTCTGGGGTGCAGGTGCCCTTCATCTTCCTGCGGCGGCCACTTCCAGATCTGCGATGGTGCACAGCGGGAAGGGGAAGCAATGAGAGGCCAGCCAAGCTGCTGCGAGATCAGGTGCTAAGAGTGGGTATCTGCAGTGCTTGCCCGGGAGCTGCACCCCAAAGAGCTTCTACCCCGCGGACCTTAGACTGTGGTCATTGCATGCCAGCTGCAGCACTGGGGCTACCTTAAGGTGTTCCTGTCCCTTTCCCGTCCTTTGTCCCTTTCCCTTTACTTACGCAACCTACCAGCCACGGTGTAGCATGCAAAAAAATTTAAAAAAGGAAAAAAAAAAAAAAATTGGGAGGTATTTCCAATCTGGACCTTTTCACCCTGTGTAAGAAGCATGGCCTCACCTACAGATGCACTGGTGTGACCACCATGGTGGGGACTTACCTCCCCCCGGCACGGGGTGCAGGAGCTGCCCGTCCACAGCGTGCTGTTGTCTCCCGTCCAGGCGAACGCCAGCTCCTCGCCAGTGGTGGCACTGGGGACGACAGCGATGACGAAGATGACGTCCTTCGTGGAGCTGAAGCAGAGTGCTACAGCAGAGTAAGCGTTTCGTTCGGGGGCCCCTTCTGCCTCGCTCTGTGCCCTCAGCTGCTGCCGGCCTGCCTTGGGTGGTGGCGGTGGTGGTGGCTTTCTGGGCCACGTTCAAAACGCGGCCTTTCTCTCTGTTCTCCTTCTCCGAGATGAGCCTCTCTCCCAGTTTGCGTAGAAACGACCAAGTCAGCAAAATCGCAAATACTTGTCCTCTGGAAAAAAGACCCACTCTTGACACTCGGGAAGTCCCCAATTAATAAAAAAGTCCCAGCTGCTACCCATATAATGAGAACCCATCTGGTTTTTTTACTAGAAGAAGAAGAGATACCCAGTAGAGTAGCAAAATGCAGCTGGGTTCATGGTGGAGTTGTCTCCATCATGAACCCAGCTTTTTCAGTCCCGGGTTTTTCTAGGACTATGTGTATGGATTGAAACGCCGGCTAAGCAGCCCGACGGGCAGCGTATTTATCCCTGCTGCTGTGGTTGAAATGCTGGTACGCTTACGTACACGCTGTTGCGTACCCACCATCTCGGGCTACGGGCGCTTACCGCACTTCGCGCACTTGGTACTTCATTTTGGTCGGCTTCTGAAGTCTTAGAGGCTTGTCCAAGCTGCTCCTGCCCCGAGGCAGCTGACGGCCCCTCGAATATCTGGGGAGGTCTGCCCGCAGCATCCTTTCTCTGGAGATGCGGAGATGCTTCGACAGCATCTCCCGGATCCCTGAGCTGTAACCTGGCTCAGCTTTCCCGTAGTGCCTTTATAAACGAGGACAGAGCTTCTCCCTGTCTGCTTGTGGCCACAGTCCTGATCCGGAGACTGTGGAAACGCGGGACCCGCTTTTCCTTGACTCCAGCGTAAGCGCACGCTGCCCGGTATACCCGGCTCCCCGCGAGCAGGACAAGGTCAGATCCAGATTTTCCCTGCAAAAAGCAGGAGCCTTGCTTTGGGCTGCGCAGACTCGGGCAAGCGAAGGGGGCGAGGGCCCTCCCTCCCCTTTCTTCAAGGTCAACTGTGGTTTATGGTGAATTTTCCTTTCTTGCGTTTCCTCCGCTGACTAAGATGCGCAAGACGAAGCGCCTGCTGTCTGTCCATCCCTTTGATTTCGAACTGGACTCGGAGAACTCTGCTCCGTCTCGCCGCCAATCTGTGCAGCTCTCCCCAGCAGCCAGCAGCCCGGACGCTTTCCAGGTACTGGGAGAGTGCTGGGGGGGTTGCTTTCCTCTCTTCTTCCTCCTCGCTACCGCTGCCGCCTCCTCCTTCGGCTGGTTTTGAGCGGTGGTGCTGATCTTCGCTCCCCGCAGTCTTGCTCGGTGTCTCTTCTCCCGTTTCGAGTCCTTTGCCTCAGGCTGAGTCAGGAGCAGGACATCTGACTGAAGCGAGGAGGAGTGGTAGGATGAGAGGGCCAGAGGCTCTCTGCAGACAACGGCTTTCTTCTGCTCTCCCAAGGCTGTGGGACACCCTGGTTTCCAGCGAGCCTTTGGACGTTCAGTGCTCAAGGGACGAAATGAAACCGGGCTCTTCTCCCGTCATCCCGTCCGGTCTGGGGCTGGTTTTGCCGCGTGGCGGCAGCGGGGAGGTGGTTGGCAGATGGCTCCGTGGGACACGCTGCCCTTCTGAGGCTGAGAAGATGCATCCCTGCACCCCAGGGTGCAGGGCCAGCACCCACGGGGTGGGGGTCCCCATCGGTCAGAGGGGTGAACGTGGGGAGAACAAAAGCTGCGTGGGCACGGGTTATTTCTATATGGGAGACTATACATGTCTTAGTGACAGGAGCTCCTGACCAGGAGCAGGACCTACAGGCAGCTCTAGCACCATCCCAGCGAAGGCTTGGGGTCGGATCATCCCCAGCTTCCAGCTCTGGGGAGCAACGCAGACGGGGCTGCCCTGGATGTGGCAAAAGGTCTTCCAGCCTGAGATGCTTGAGATCAAGCTTTTTAGGCTGCTTCTGTTTGCCTTTCCTGTTGAAATTTTACTTTTAAAGCATTAAACAGCTCCTCCTTCCTTCTAATGATACTGTGATACTGTCAACTCTAGAAGTAGGTAAGAAGACTCTAGCAGTAGGGTAGAAGTAGGATGTGCTGAGATGTGTAACAAAGGCTTTAAAAAAAAAAAATTCATGCCGTTCCGCATAAACTGATAAGAATTTGGGGTAAACAAGTGTATTCGTTCTTTATCTAAGCCCATTGTTATGCGGCAGGATTCGTCTTGAGCCTAGGGAAGGCTGGCCCTTGTTGACATTGGCCGAGTTGGATTTATCGGTTGCAGGTTGTTGGAGGGGCAGAAGGGTGGCTGCAGTTTGAATAAGCGCATGGGCATGGCGTTTTTACAGCCCAGAGGGTTTTGCAGCCTGGCTGGAGGGGCTCTGCCTGGTTCTCGTCCAAATTCACAGTGCCTGCTGGCAGCGGCGGGATTACGGCTCAGGCCTCGTCAGCAAGGTAGATCAGAGAATCGGCTCTGGGTCGGAAGGGACCTTTCAAGGCCATCTAGTCCAACCCCCCTGCAGTGAGCAGGGACATCTCCAACCAGAGCAGGTTGCTCAGAGCCCCGTCCAGCCTGACCTGGGATGTTTCCAGGGATGGGGCATCTACCACCTCTCTGGGCAACCTGGGCCAGGGGTTCACCACCCTCCTTGGGAAACATTTCCATCTTTCTAGTCTAAATCTTTGCTCTTTTAGTTTAAAACCAT